TGTGAAAGTCATGTGAAATGATCTCATCGAAGAAATAAGTAAGCATGTATGTCTAATTTGGTTGGGTTTGCTCAAAGGACCACTGACTTTATGAATTTGAAATTAGAAGTCATCTTTTGTCATTGTATCATTTGAAGTAATATTATCGACTTCATCATGTTATACGAGTCAAATTTTTTGAGAAGTTCCTAATTATTATAGACAACGTCAGTCCAATTAAAAACGAATAATTGTTAATTAGGGCAATTTCGATCTCCGATCTGATCTCCGATTTGTGCAATGCTGTAGACATCATATTAGATATCGCTCTATGGAATAATTGTGTTAGTTACTTGTATTTTTTTATTTCAGTCTTACTCACTAATTAAAGTGGGTAGGTAAGATGTCGTAGAATTACATAATTTAGTATTCTATAAAATGCGATGTAATAGTTTAAGTATTTCTTAACTAATATACAAGTACCTTTTCATATATATATATATATATATATATATATATATATATATCGTTGTTTATTTGTGTTTGTGTCAAAATATATCGTGAAAAAAAAAATCAGATTGCACTTTGAAATCCATACCTAAACTCCACGATCACTATCTTCTTTCCAACTTGTTCCTTAGATGATGCTGTACATTTCGTTTTCTTCCCTTTAATTATTCAATTAACAATCAGTATATTCAAGCTTGGTCCAGTGTTCACTGCACCTACCCTTCATCAATAAAATATACATTACACTTGATATTTTTATTTGATTAAGATTTAAGACTCGTGATTAACCACAAACCTCTCATATTTTGTAACATTTCATGTCGTCAGCACTGACCAATATTGATACTCCCCCGTCATAGTTTCACAGTAAAGATCATAATGTTATTTTAATTTCAATAAACTGGATAATTAATTAAATGGGATGGATGAAATTTAGAATCATATACTTTCCCTGTCTCGAAATTATTGTTCCGTTTGAATTTTCATTTTTCGGTACAGAAATAATTATTTTGAATTTTGTACTAGAAGTAAAAAAATGAAAGCTCGTTATCATTTTAGGAAAACAAAGGATTTAATTTTTTCATGAGGGTGTGAAAAGAGTTCAATTGGAAATAAAAGGCTTGCCTACCACTTCCTACCAGTTCAGTAGCAGTGTCTAGTTGAGTTGTGAAGGGGATGGAAAGATGATGTAGAGATGTTTCAAATTCTTAGTTTGTGTTTAGATAGTTTTTGCATGTATTTGGTTTGATTTTTGAATATCTTGTAGATTTAAATACAATTAGAAACAAATGAAAACTCAAAACATTAAAAACTGAGAAGAACAAGGAGAAGGAGAGGGACTGTTTTATTTAGTAGTAAATGAATGCGAAATATTCATCCGAGTCAAGTCTATTGTGTGATGGAAAAAATTTTCACATACCATGATCATGATTTTGAGTCAGAAGATTGCTTCTGAAAATAAATATATTGCCTCTGTCCTAAAATTATTGTCCGATTTAAGATTTCACTTTTAGTAAAATTTGAATTAGAAATGAAAACTCAAACTGGACAACAATTATGGGACGGAGGGAGTACTAAATAAGGGAAAAAAGATATAAAAAAAATAATAATAAACTAAAACTAGAGATTCAGATGAGATGTGATATCATAAGAAACTGAAATACATATGGCATCTTTTTAATAATTTAAAAAATTACTTTACTCAAAAGTAAACAATATAGAATAATTTGGAGTATATGCTTCAATTTGTAGGCATAGTTTCTTTTTTCCATTTTCCCGAAATTAAATTGCTTCAACGGGGTTTTAAAACTAAAAAAAAAAATTTCAAAATAAAAATTCATGGTTTTATTAACAACAATTCATACCTTTACGGTTCCATATGTACACAGGCTTACAAGTTATAACATATTTGTTAATAAGATTAATGATTTGTGACTGAAAGTTAGACTTGTCTGCGGACACGTCACAAGCCGAAGAAGATACGCTAATAAAAGCATCGCTGAATGAGGAATGCTGACTTAAAGCTGACGTGACCTGAATGTGCACCAAAAATCAATGCAGCTGAGAGATGACGTCACCATGCAGTAAAACCTCATCATCCCTTCTTCTTCCTCTACCCAAACAGAGAACGACAACAAGAAGTGCTAAAACTTAGCAATCAGAAAACATTTAAAATTAGAAAAGGGTTAATAATAAGTATTCACTTAATCCCCTCAGTGTTTTCGATAATTATCACATGAACTCTAATGTTTCAAAAACTACTAATTCTCCTAGAAGTTTTAAACTTCAAAGTTGAGACGCTAGTTTTTAACTAAATTGTATTGGCCCAATAAAGTTTGCATTCCTCATATGAAAGTATAACTATTCAACCTTAAATCTTAAAATACATCTTGTATAAAAGCTTAACTACTTGATTTTAATTTTTTTTTTATTTATGCTATGATTGTGCTATAAACAAGGAATGAAAGCCGGAACACTGATAGAACCATTAAAAAATATAGAGAAATGTTATAGTAATTAGGAGAAAAATTAATAGGGAAAAGAAAAACGTTCTGGAATAAAGTGAGGCTAAAGTAGGGGAACATAATACTATTTTACCTAAAAAAGTAGATATACTTCCATAAGTATATTTTTGAATTATATATTTTTTACTATCTTTATCATTTTCATAGTAGCACATACCAACATCACACAGGTTAGAGTCTCAGGGGAGGGCATTTGGAAACTTTTCCAACAAGATTGGGGCTCACATAGCGTGGGAGTAAATGAAAAAATTGTGATATAAACAAAAAACCAGCCATATTTGCAAAAATTCAAACTATATATATAATTTCGTCATTTTCTAAAAAAAAATTGAGTAGTCATTATCTATTTTTTCATATTTGGGAAAATTTTTGTTGTACGACCTTTCAATCTATTTGTGACCAAAATTTTTTCTTGGTGTACAGTAAAACCTCCATAAATTAATATATTTGGGCCTCTAAAAATTTATTAATTTATGGTGTTATTAATTTATCAATAAATTAATAATTATTAAGTTATCGATAAAGTAATATTTTATCAATTTAAAGAGTTTTTTCAACCCTATAAGTAGGAAACTACAAAAAATTTAGTAATTTTTATATCAAGAAAAGTCTCTTGCAGCCCTAACCATAGCACCATAAATTTTTTAATGGAACAAAAAAATGATAATTACAAATATAAAAATAAATAATTAAGTCAAAGTTTTAGTTAATCTTCAAATATAATTAATTATTTTAGGTATTTATTAATTTATGAAATTGTGGGACTTATATTTTTATAGGAGATTCTTAAGAAATTATTATCTTATAAATTTATCGAGTTTAATAATTTTTATACTGGTCTCGAGTTGGGACCGGAGAAAAATATTACTTAATAGAGGTTATTAATTTATAGAAGATTAATTTAAGGAAGTTTTACTGTATCTTGTTTTCGTAGATTCTATGCATTGTTCCTTTCTTCCCCTATATGGTAAATTATTACCATTACCCCATCATCAAAATTCTTCCACCTTGAAGTTAGAATTCCTTTACACAACTAGACTTCTTTCTTCCATCTGTTTGGCGTTAAGAAAACTTGCTAATGTCAAGCTTTTTCTTTTAAAAGAGAAAAATTATAAAAGAGTACAAAGGCACAAAATATCATATTACAAAAACAACACCTTAGATTAACGATATATATTTAATCTTATCATTTCTTTCTAGTCCATAATTTTTCCCTCCAAAATAACTATTTGATGAAAGAACGCTTTGATAAGTGTATTAACATCAAATGCATTGTACTAATAATATGCAAGTAGTTTTGATCAATCATTCATGTCAAGAAGAGATAATATATTTGCCATTCTTACTTTTTGGCCATCTAAAACCATCATACCCATCCTTAATATTTTTCTTTTGTTTTAATAAATGCTTCCAGTGTCAGTTAAATCCGTCTTTTGCAACACATTTTCATTCAACAATTCTCTTGAAAATATGATGTAATGCAGTTGCTTTTTGAAATCATAGCAATGCTTCAAACATTTTATTGTATAATTTACCTAACTTGACGAGGCATCTCCATGTTGGTTCAATATGATTAGTGTTAACATTTTTTGAAGTTTTATTAATCGCTCAATAATAACTCACTATGAAAGAAATTGGATCTACGCTCTCGCAAGATATACATATTAATCTCTGCTTTAATCTCTCAGTCTCGGGAACCGTAGATTAAACTCCTAATATTCGTCTTTGTAGAAATTTTCGTCAATTTAAAGAATTGGTTTCATCCTCAAAATGTGTGGCATAAAGTCATGACTGAATAAAACAGAAAAAAAGAAATTAAACCATTCAAAACAACTATTGCAAATTATCTGTAATTATTAAGGTGTCATTTAAAAGATTTTGAGAGGTTAATAGAGTATTGATACATTTTTAAAACATTAGTGTTTAATTGATAATTTCTACAAACATACAGGGAAAGTAGTTATAATTTGCCAAAATTAATTGTTGTTTTTATTATTTATTTTAAGAAAATACTCCCATTGCAAATAGAAGTGTGGGCTTCGTTCTCCTTCTGAAGTTCGAAGACTTCTAACAGAGCAGACAGACAACAGACTGACTTTAGGATTCATCAAAAGTTGCTTAAAAAAAAGAGCTTCTCAATTCTCATTAAACCAAAAACAACCAAAAAAAACATAACCATCAAAAACCTGATCGTTGTCAGCTTCAAAAGTCGATTGTGAGAGCCACACGAAGACGATTACACTTCAAAAAAAGAAAAATTCCCTCATTAAAAAAAAATAGTGGGGAGTCTTGGTGGCTCAGGTTCTTTCTCAACCTCTCTTCCATTTATCCCCACATCCTTCCTTCAATCCACACATTTTCTTCCCTTTTCCTCAACCCATCCCAAATTCCCCAACCCAACCCCTCCCCCTTCCTCTGTTTCCAATTTACACACAGTCACACACTGAAAAAAAATTGGTGGGAAATTTGCTCTGTGTGTTATTTTAGATGTCCGTGGTACAGTCAGTAGTGGGACAACAAGTCCCACGACTGGTCTTTCCAAATGGAGGGCAGTTGGGAAACTCGAGGGATTTTGTCCTTGTTGATTTTGTTGGTCTGGGTTGTAAATCTTTTTCCGGGAAGAAGTCCCGCCGGAAAGTTGGAGTATCGTACTCTACCCGCTCGACACGTGGTCTGACCGGAAAGCAGAGTCACTGGTCTTCTTCGCCCTCTATCAGAGCTGTCCTTGATCTTCAACGTGTTGGCACTTCTACTTCTTCTTCTTCCAACTCCGCTTCCACTTCCTCCTCTTCCGATGATGATTTAAAACCCAAGGTTTGGCTTCATTGTTAACATCTGTATATAGTTTTTAATGTTCTTTCAGTTTACATGGCATTTGTTACTGATCAAGTGATCAGGGTGATGATGGTGTTTATGGTTGACTTTTTATTTTGTTAATTTGATTTCGGTTTTCCTTTTTATTTTTTTATTTTTTATTTTTTTATTTTATTTTGGCCATCTAGTATATTAAAAGGTTAAAGGTCCCATGTACTCTGAATATATGAAGATTTGAGATCATTGTTTTGGCAACTGCAGCTTCTTATTGCGACCCCCTATTGGCCTTTTTTTGGAACTATTAACTGAAGCTTCGAGTATTAAAAGTATAGGTTTTGGAGGGTTAAATAAGTTTGCTGTATGTGGTGTTTACTGCGATCGTAGTGACAGTGTGACAACAGGGAACCCTGTCTCCTACTAAATGCAGATAGTTCATAGTGTTACTCTATGGTCATACATGGTTAGAAGAAATTGCAGCTTTTACCTTTTAGATTGATGCAGAATTGAAAATGTGGATGGTTGCTATTACTGAAAAAGATATTGGTTGAGTGTCACATTGTTGGAAATGATAGGGATTCTTTGTTTACTGGATAAGGAGGAGAAACTTTGAATTGATAATGAAGGGATCAATCTTTGTTTGATAATTAATCCAGAATAGTGACAGTAACTTGATGTAATAATTCGCGTTCAATCGGTTGGGTCTTTTGGATAATTCATTAACTCCTAAATGAGAAAAGTTTTCCTTTTGAGAATTTCTAATTGTGTTCTTATGAACTTTTGCTCTTAAAACTTAATGTAGCAGCTGTCGTAATGATTCTCGTTTAGGTGGTGAAATGTAGCTTCTGAACAGGTTATCCATTTCCAAAGTTCTATGGAGTTAAAATTATGTTAATATTATCTCTCTCTCTCTCTCTCTCTCTCTTTCCCTTTGAGATATACAAGTAGGAATTATAAGTTTTGGATAAGATTGAGGACAAAAGTACTAGTCACTTGAATGCTATGAACTCGAGAAATCCAGCAATGGTGATGCATTTCAGCCGTAGTGAAGTTAGAAGAAGCCGAGGTTAAAAACATGATGAAACGTTATGGAAGCTTAATTACAAGAAGCTTAGGCTTAAGAGCTTTTGAGATAAGCACGAGGTGAAATATCAAGAAATATATACACCAGGCACCACTGTATCTAAATTATCTCTCTCCTTAGATTCTTTAATTATGATATTTTGGACACATTCCTCCATATGCTTTGTGTACTTATCTGATGCAGGAAAAAATAAGAATAGGGTTTACGAATTATTAGGAAATTTTAATTTAGGGAGGTTTTAGTATTTTACAGAATTTTTAAGTCTTTTTAGATATTTTCCTTTTTTTAAGTTTAGGGTTCAACTATAAATAGGGTTGCTGCATGTTTACAGAGAAGTAGTTTTTATTGATATTTGATTTCAGAACTGCGAGTTCTCTTTCACGGCTGAGTGCCTGTTTTATGGTTTTTATTGGTTTGTCTAAAAACCATTGCCATGAATCAAAGTGGTGATCATGGTGATCATGAATCAAAGTGGTGTTCCTTCTTTTCATGCTTCCGCTCGCATCAATTGGTATCAAAGCCATAGGTTTAAGCCAAGCCGTCAGAGTCGTCAACAATTGATTGCATGGTTGCAAGAACTAGAGGATGTTACGCAACAAATTGAGTGGGTGCGTCAAAGGATTGATGATCTCCAGGATGGATTGAATCGTCAAAGGATTGATGATCTCCAAAAAGGATTGAATCGTCAACTGTGTGTTGTTTTTTCAGATTTACCGGAAGGTAATATGGAGGGTTTGTTTTTCTCATATGAATCTGAATTCGATTCAAGTGAGGACCAGATCGTTGATTGGAGCAGTCCACCAGTTTATGATGTTTACCCAGATGAGTTTATGGATGAACCAATTATTACTGGTGTTCATGGTCTTGTTCGGTTTTCTCCGCCAACTGAACCAGTAGTAGACAAAGAGGATTTGGAAGAGTTTGATGGGTTTAATATACTTGCGGAAGAGAAGAATTATGTTAATGTGTTAGAATTTCCAGTGATTCAACAAAGTTTAATGGGTTTAATATACTTGCGGAAGAGAAGAATTATGTTAATGTGTTAGAATTTCCAGTGATTCAACAAAGTTTGTGCTTTACTCAAGAGGATCTGCTACAAGCACAAGTAGCAATGGTGTTTGGTGTTTGTTTTGAATCATGTGATCCGGTTTGCAATTTCAAAGCTAAATTTTCAAGAACATCACAAGAAGCTTGAGTTTAAGAACTCTCTGAATCAACAAATTGTTTATGCATGGAGAAGACGAAGGAAGAAGGTTTCTCAAAGACGGCAATTGGAGTTAACCGGAGTTCCTTTTGATCGTGGAAAAGGCAGGCAAAACTCGAGGACGAGTTTTCTTTGAAGCAGGGGAGAGTTGATGCAGGAAAAAATAAGAATAGGGTTTACGAATTATTAGGAAATTTTAATTTAGGGAGGTTTAGTATTTTACAGAATTTTTAAGTCTTTTTAGATATTTTCCTTTTTTAAGTTTAGGGTTTAACTATAAATAGGGTTGCTGTAGGTTTACAGAGAATTAGTTTTTATTGATATTTGATAATTAATTTCAGAACTGCGAGTTTTCTTTCACGGCTGAGTGCCTGTGTTATGGTTTTTATTGGTTTTTGTCTAAAAACCATTGCCTTTGTTCATGGTGATCATGAATCAAAGTGGTGTTCCTTCTTTTCATGCTTCCTCCCGCATCATTATCTATTTGATTTTTTTTTTTTGGCCTAATCATCCTTTGGAAAGAAAATTTTTGTTTATGCAATTAATGTTCTCATTTTACTCTGATCTTTCCGTGCTACTGAATGCTTTGGTGTCAACTAATGCTAACCTACTCGTAGATTACTTTATTTCTTTTCTGCTAAAACTACCAACATGGTGTTTGAGTCATCAGGTGCTTTCCAAGGGCTCATAAGAGCTATTTCAATTATTTCTAAAGAATCTCTTACTTTGAAAATTGGATTTTTGATTGTTCTGTGTGATACAGCATGTATCCTTGCATGAAGGGGAAACATATATTGTGAATTGGTGAACTTCTGTTTCCCACTGCTCGAAGTTGCCATTTTTTTTTTTTTTTTTCTGGTTTGCATCTTTATCTCTGATTCTTTGGTGTGGAGCACTTTTTCTGTTTCTCGCTCTATGTTTAAGTCACCTAGGAACGCACCCAAAATTTGAGAGTAGTGGCTTACAATTTATAGAGTGGATCTCATTGGTGGATTTTGATAACTTATTCATTTGTGGTTGTTAGTTGCAGCTTTCCTGTCATAGTCATGTGTTCTATTTGAGTTTTTTGCTATCCGTATTTAGTCGGGAATATACTGGGTATGTTGATGTCAATGACGGAGTTGTGATGATTCTATTTAAGTGAAACATTTTATCAAAGCTCAGTCTTCCTTTTTCTATGTATGGCTAAGAAAGGTATATATGATTTGTCACTTTTGTCTACTCATGTGAATTGTAAATGTTTACCAACGTTAGGGTTTCATCTTCTGCAGGTTGCAAACTTGGAAGATATTATTGCAGAAAGGGGGGCATGTGGTGTTGGATTTATAGCCAATTTAGAAAATAAAGCATCACATGGGATAATTAAGGATGCTCTTAATGCCCTCGGATGCATGGAACATCGTGGTGGTTGTGGAGCAGATAATGATTCTGGAGATGGTTCTGGATTGATGACATCTATTCCTTGGGAATTTTTCAATGATTGGGCTGAGAAGCAGGGACTTGCAGCCTTAGATACGTTGCATACTGGTGTCGGAATGGTTTTCCTTCCCAAAGATGACGACCAAATGAAAGAAGCAAAAAAAGGTCAGTCTTGGTAGAATGGAATTTATAGTTACACTAATAATTACTAGTCAAGGAATTAGACCATCTTAGCATGAAGTATCTTTAAATCTAACCTTATTGAAAGCGAAGTACATACAACTTCTCAGGGTGGACAATTATGCATGGATCAAGCTGAACATACCACATTTTCTGTTGTAAAATAGCAAAACAATGAGGTCTAAATCTTTCAGATAATAAGATTCTGGAAAAGGTCTTGACCACTGAAATTAGAATATCGCAATCTCTTGGCCCAGCATATATTATGGGGTAATATAATTTGAATTTCTATGAATAGAATCACTGAATTTGCTTATGGTTTAAAATCTGCATTTGGCCCTAACTTGTGCTGTTTGGTGATTTCAATAAATATGAATTTACATTAATCTTTTTATGGAGCATTATGTGGTCAAATCCTATTACTTTACTTTAGTCTTCAGGCTGTTAACGTTGATACCTAGGCCTTTCTATTTTCTGATGCAATTTTAGTGCCTCCTATTTTCTCGGTTAATCTTTTTTGATCATTTTGTGCACAAATTTCCCATTCTTATTGCGTTTCATTTCTGCTAGTTATTGAAAATATTTTTAAGCAAGAGGGTCTTGAAGTGCTTGGATGGAGGCCAGTTCCTGTAGATACTTCTATTGTTGGCTTTTATGCAAGACAAACCATGCCTAACATAGAGCAGGTGTTTGTTAGAATTGGCAAAGAAGAAAATGTTGACGACATTGAAAGAGAACTATACATCTGTAGGAAGTTAATTGAAAGAGCATCAAACTCTGAAACGTGGGGTAAAGAACTCTACTTCTGCTCCTTGTCAAACCAAACCATTGTGTACAAGGGAATGCTACGGTCAGAAGTTCTTGGAAAGTTTTATTTCGACCTACAGGATGACCTTTATAAATCCCCATTCGCAATTTATCACCGGAGATACAGCACGAATACTAGTCCTAGATGGCCCCTGGCTCAACCTATGAGGTTTCTTGGTCATAATGGGGAGATCAACACCATACAGGTTCAATGCAATATTAAAACTGTTACTCTTATCTGTTTTCCCTTGTTTTTTCCCACTTTTTACAGGTTTATTCGTTTTTCTTATAGTTTCAAGTATATTCTTGTAGGGAAATTTAAATTGGATGCAATCTCGAGAATCGTCTTTGGAGTCTCCAGTATGGCGAGGTCGTGAAAGTGAAATTCGTCCTTTCGGGAATCCAAATGCTTCTGACTCGGCAAATCTTGATAGTACAGCAGAGGTATGAAATACCTTCTGCTTTCTTGATTGAACTAATTTGCATAATTTCTGGTAATATTTATTCGTAGTGCTGTTTCATATAGTCTAATCAAAAAGGAAATATAATAAAGGGAAAGAAAAAAGAATGGAAAAGTGCAGAAATAAATATGAGGAGGTTTTATCAACATATAGTGAATATGGTTGGTGCTGATAAAATTCATCTCAGCTTCCTTTCCCATGTTTTTTGAATACTTAGCTGTTGAACTTAAGTGGGCTTCTTCATTATGTTTCGCTTTTCTTTTTCCTTTTTTTATGTTCTTAACTTGAAAACAATTGTTTCTTTCCTTCATTTCAGCTGGAATTGATGACAGTGTTTTGCTTTTACTACCATTTGTTTGTTGGCAGTTGTTGATTAGAAGTGGCCGTACTCCTGAGGAAGCTTTAATGATTCTAGTGCCCGAGGCATACAAAAGTCATCCTACACTAACGATTAAATATCCCGAGGTACTTGACAGAACTAATCAATTGATTTTGGAGATGAAAATTTATCATCTGGAGTACATGCAATATATCTTTATGCAAACCTATGATCCCTATTTGGCAAGCTATTGGTACTAGCAGGGTTGACATAATGTTCATTTCTGCATAAGCATGGTAATCTTGGTACGTGAATCGAAGGAATCTAAATCTTTCCTTCCTTTTTTCTAGGTTGTGGATTTTTATGATTACTACAAGGGTCAGATGGAGGCTTGGGATGGACCTGCATTACTCTTATTCAGGTGCTCATTCTGTATTTTAACTTTGTGGTCATTTTTTTCATGACTACTGTTAGCTGCTCAACTTGCAATTGCATTTTGCGCTGTAGTTTTCTTTCCTATATTTGGTTTTACCAAAACTGGTGTTTTTTATTTTTTTCAATTTTTGATGTATGGTCTCGTTGCCGAGTAGTATTATTTATATTTATTTTTATTTTTCCAGCACATGCTATTTTGTATATTCCAAGTCTTTATTTCTATTTTTCTCCTTTCTTCATGTGTCACAGTGATGGGAAAACAGTTGGAGCTTGTCTTGATCGTAACGGGCTTCGTCCCGCTAGATATTGGCGCACAAAGGACAATGTTGTCTATGTAGCATCTGAGGTGTGTTTGTTTTCCCCGTTACTCATATTGAACACTTACAAGGTGTAAACCAGCATGAAAATGACTGTTTACAGTTTTGTGCTGAAACCTAAAAATTATTTTGAACTGCTAATTCAAGGTGTCAAATCTCATGCCTGTTTGTTTTTACGCCCTTCAACTGGACTTTGACCAGCTTTACTTTAGTTGCTTTGGGGATTATTCTTCAACTAAGAAGTAGACTTGTCACTGTCATGCTGTTAAACTTGTAGAGTAATTTTTCATACAGTCATTGATCGTTTATCATTTGTTATGTTCCTTTACAAAAAGGCAGTCCGATACTCTGATCTTTCTTTGCACCTCATGGATGGAATTTAAATAGCCTTGTTCTGATAATTTTGTGACCAACATCTTGTCCATTCATCCAGGTTGGTGTGGTGCCCATGGACGAGTCCAAAGTCACGATGAAAGGCCGTTTAGGTCCTGGAATGATGATCGCTGTTGATTTGACTAGTGGTCAGGTCTGACTACAGGCTCAACTTTTTTCTTAACTGTTATAGCTTTGACATTCCTGAGTTCAATTTCAAACTTGTTGTGATCTTTTTCCTGATTAATTTTTGGCACTGTACTCCTTACAGTTCAATATTTTACTTAGTCCTACAGTATTTTAAAGTTTCTGCTACATATTGCATTCTGTTTCATTGCTTTGTGGCCTCAGTGTAGGACACCATTAGAAAATTCTCCAAAACCTAACAATTTAACTTGAGGATTTTGCGCGAGTTTGATCAGATTATTGGTCTTTAACATCTAACGTGATATACAGAACTTTCAAACTGGTGTAATTAAGAAATAAATGATTTTCATAACTTGATACATGAATTCATGACCTTGCAATTCCTAGAACTTCTACTTTTGGTGCTTAATGAAATGTTGAATTCCACACACCCCCAAAACAATTGTTATTTGTGTTCAACTCAGAATACTGTTTATTGGTTTGTTTAAACTTAAGGTCGAAACAGCCAGCCTCTCTCTCACCATGTGAATTTGGTTATCTCCATGTAAAATTAAGAATACAAATGTGTACATGACAGGTGTTACTGCTTCTTTTGGTCTTTGGTGAATTGGTCAACTTTGTTACACTTCCGGTTTTCGTTGACTTTGTATTCTTTTGCTCCACAGCTTCAATGCTCTTATTCTATTTGACTATTATTGAACTAAACAGGTTTATGAAAATACAGAGGTCAAGAAAAGAATTGCATCGTTGAATCCGTACGGGAAATGGGTTAATGACAATTTGAGATCCTTGAAGCCTGTGAATTTTCTTTCTGCTACTGTTTTGGATAATGAAGCAATATTGAGGCGTCAGCAGTAAGCCCCTTCATCATTTAATTATCTCTTTGTCAATAATCTTGACTGTGATTACCGATTCAGAATTTGCAATTGTAAATGTTGAAGATACCCTATTATTTTCCAATGGTTAGATTTCAGTATTGTGGGTTGCTGTTCAATTTTTTCCCTCTTAGGACTATTGCAAATTAATAGGAGTTGGATGCCAACGAATTGTACAATTTTAGGGGCACAAGGATTGGAGTTTCCTGGAAACGAATCTAGCCAATTTTCTCTTGAATGAAAATTGACCTTGGAGCCTCAAACGAGAAATGAACATATTGGTGCTACCAGAGACAGAGTAGAGCGTTTGCATGTAGACTAGCAGATTCTGTCATTTGTCTTCGATTCTTTGTGTTACATGTTGTTTTAACTCACTCTTGAATCTGATATTTCAGGGCATATGGATATTCTAGTGAGGATGTCCAAATGGTAATTGAATCAATGGCTGCACAAGGAAAGGAGCCCACATTTTGTATGGGCGATGATATACCATTGGCAGTGCTGTCTAGGAAGCCCCATATGATATATGATTACTTTAAGCAACGATTTGCTCAGGTTAGTGAAAATCATCTAGGTATTCAGGGTAATCACATAAGATACTTGTCCAGCATTAGACCTGAACATTTTTTGAGATGCAGTTGATTAACATTTGTTGTCAAGTGTCAAATATGCCCCATTCGATGCTTGTGAAAGTGTAATACATTGTTTATTAGTTAGATCCTTTTCTCTATTAAATTCAATTTGATTACCTAAAAGGGTCTTACTGCCACCGTTTCTGTTCGAGAATAATTATTTCCTCTATCAATTATCCATAATATATAGGTGGGTTTATGTTAGATGATATTCAGCTAAAGATATGTGCTTGTGCCAGGTAACGAATCCAGCTATTGACCCACTTAGAGAAGGACTTGTTATGTCTCTTGAAGTCAATCTTGGGAAGCGTGGAAATATACTTGAAGTTGGACCGGAAAATGCGTCTCAGGTAATTTCACGAATTTTCTTAGTGTTGCTGTAGCTTCTTGCTTTTCTCTTAGCTTCAGGGAATACTGCTTTCAATTTTTTTCAGCTCTATATCATTGTTGCATAACTTTTCCAATCCCTGACACAGGTGTATCTGTCGAGTCCTGTGCTTAATGAAGGAGAGCTAGAGTCACTGCTGAAAGACCCAATTTTAAAAGCAGTAGTTTTGCCAACCTTTTTCGACATTAGTAAAGGAGTTGAAGGTTCTTTGGAGAAGACATTATACAAGCTCTGTGAAGCAGCCGATGAAGCTGTAAGGAATGGTTCTCAACTTCTTGTTCTCTCAGATAGAAGCGACGAGCCGGTACGAACCATTCTTGTTCTTTTACTGGATATGCTTAAATCTGGTAAAGGGATGCGTAAATTATGCACATGCTGCACTAAGTCACCCTTCCTGAATGCATAGAAAGGACCCGTGGAAATTTTGCTCTGTGTGTGTGTCTCTCTCTGTCTCTCTCTCACGATGAGCAGATGATATATTTTTGCATCATGAAGCTGACGTAGAAGTCTCGGTTTTGATCTGTATAAATGGTTGTCTGAACAAGAATATTAAATTCTGTAGACCTAGTTACATTTGGGATATTTGTTGGTCTCTTGGTCTTATCATGTCTTGATTTTACGGTTGAGATTCTCTTAGCTTTTCTCTAACAATCCTTCTTTTGGTTAGGACCCAACTAAGCCTGCAATCCCTATACTACTTGCCGTCGGTGCTGTACATCAACATCTGATCCAGAATGGTCTCCGTATGTCAGCTTCTATTGTTGCAGATACAGCGCAATGTTTCAGTACTCATCACTTTGCCTGTTTGATAGGATATGGGGCGAGGTACTCCCTCATATGTAGTTTTTTTGCGCTTCTTTCCTCTGTTAATGCTATGTTTTCATTTGTTAACTTTAGCTTGGTCCCCATGGACATCTATGCTATGTTGTATTTTTTATTCTGTATTTCTCCAAATATGAAAAGGCACAAAAATACTGGTGCAGGCACACTTAATTGCTGTTGTTGTTGCTCTATTTTCATTAACCTATGTTTTGAGATTTTCTCGTTTCTCTGCTGTAGAATTTTGCATTGTATTATGCCATTAGTCTATATTAGACCTTGTGGGTGTTAATCGGGCCATCCAGTAAATGTAAATATGAGGGGTTCCATGCTGCATTTGTGTGTTGGAACTTGTCAATTTTTCAGCTTTAAGACAGCAGTAGATGAATGAGCTCAGTTCGTATTTGGTCAAAAAGTTCTATCTCATCACAAGCAAAGAGGTTCTTGCATTATCTGTTGCATGATGCGCGGATACACCTTTCTTTCTGATGCTGAATGGTTGAAAGTCGTTTCTGGATTCAAAAGAAATTGTAGGGAAAAAATGTAGATGTGTCTAAATTCTTTTAATTGATCGTTGCATATTTGTGGTAGTAGCAATTTCTACTTACGCTTGACATGCACGAAGAGTTAATTAAGTTCAATCCAATCGAGAAGTTATGTGAATAAGAGGACTTATGGATTTAAATAATATTTTGGTAAGGTTATCATGTCACCTACCAGTTGTTTGTTGTTTTACTATTTTAGATGCCGATGAACACCAAAAACGAATTTCCTTTCCTTTTCTAGTTTTTCCTTTGCAGTTGATTACAGTTACTAGCCTGAGTACATTGATCAGTTCTCTTTATTTGTTTAGATTGAAAGTTATTGCACGATCTTGATATGCTTTGCATCATTGAAATCCTTAAGACAGTTCTAGTTGTAAAATGAAACGTTTTCTGTTGTGGAGCATGCTTCAATGTCATGATGTGACGCACGTAAGGTGCCATTTCATATCTTGTATATCATGGAGAATGAAATATGTCATGATTTTGTTTCTTGTTTTACATATACTGTGATAACTTAACTCGGCCCTTGCATGCAAATTTTTGGCTTTTTAATTTGCAAGCTTGTATCGGATTTCCCATTTATCTTCGTTGCTATCTCATCTCTGCCCCTTGCACGTAAAGTTTTGACTCCCCTATCGTCAAATGTGCAAGTTCTCATTGGGTTTAAAATCCATCTACAGTGCTATCTGCCCTTATCTTGCATTAGAAACATGTCGACAATGGCGTTTGAGCACCAAAACCGTGAATCTGATGAGAAATGGAAAAATGCCCACTGTAACAATTGAACAGGCTCAAAAGAACTTCTGCAAGGTTAGTTGTTTTGTTGGTGTAAAATTCTCTCTGTTCTTCCTGATTATCAAATACGTATTGTCAAGCATATAATTATGTCGATTTAGTTAGTGGGTTGCTAAATGCAACTTGATTTTACTTCGCGCAGCTTGTACAATAGACTAAAATACCCCTGAACATTAAACTCTCCCAAATTATTTTACACGATCATTTTTTTAGAACTTCTCACAAGTTCTTTCATTATATTGTCAAAAAATCATTGATTCTTGATGGTTTGCAATGGCGGAAAATCAAATAACACAAAAAACACAAGATAAAATAAGACATTGGCTTCTCAACAGGTAATTTTTTTTGCAAAGTTCACTTTCCTATTGGTGTGATTACCATTGTCATTTTCTTACGGATTTTTTTTACAAGGAGAAATAATTTGCGCGAAATTTTATGGCTTTGGCATGATTGCTGATTGGTGATCATGGTTTTTTTTTTGCTGATTAGTGATCGTGCTTTTTTTTTATGTAATTTATGTGTCTTGATTTTGTTTCCTGTAGCTTGATTTTACTTTGTGCAGTTTGATTTTATTTCGTGTATCTTTATTTTACTTCGTACAACTTAATTTTACTTTGTGCATCTTCATAGGGGCATTGTAGTCTATTTAATAAGCTGTACAAAGTAAATTCAAGCTGCGTTTAGCAATACCCTTTAGTTATCATTCTTTGTTCCAGAATATTGACTATTATTATCTTTATTCTCCTGCCTGTTCAGGTGGGAGAATTATCACTTAATTATCATCTTTTTTACTATTAAGTTTAACTATGACCGCCTTGTTCTGTGTTTTTACATAGTATAATTAATGAAGATCACCATTTATTCTTTTATTTATTGGTTGGAAATGCTATTTAGTGTTACGTTGTTGATTTAAACAATGATCTCAACAGAAACAGTTGTCTCTCTTTCATATTTGCAGGCTGTGAAAGCCGGCCTTCTCAAGATACTCTCTAAAATGGGTATCTCACTGCTCTCAAGGTATAAGTTGTTTGTTTTTATTCTTGTGTGCATTGTGTGTATATTATTTTTCGAGTTCTGTGTTTGGTACTGTTAATTCTGTAAGGTTTTATGTACTTACTTTTGTCAAGTTGCTCTAGTGACGTCTCTCCTTCATTGCTGGAATATGACTTGTTAGGTCACGTATTTATGTCATAATTGGTTTTTTCCTTATTATGGAAATCTTATCAGTTTGAAGATAATTTTTGGTTTCAGTTCACCTTAAGGAGTCCTCTTGATGGCTAATGTTGGCAAAAAATGTAGATTACTTTTAGTCTATCGTTAATATAGTTAGGCATCAGGTGTTCTCAATGCACATGGGATTACTATATGTATGCTTAAGTTGTTTAAATTCTCTATTTCTCCTTTGTTCTTGGTTATAGTTTGAACCAAACTTCCATTTTTATTTTGTCTTTTATTTCTAGCTCCCCTATGTTTTCTTCTCCCTTCAAGACCATTATTAACAAGAGATTGATTTCAGTTATTGTGGTGCGCAAATTTTTGAAGTCTATGGATTGGGAAAAGAGGTTATTGACATGGCATTCTGTGGGAGTGTTTCCAGCATAGGTGGACTAACCTTGGATGAGGTAATATACTCTAAAGATGAGGTTTTGATTTTGTTCTTTATTTTCAATTCTTGAGTTGCTGTCTACAATGAACGTAGAATTATAGTAGAGTACACAACCAATTCACATGGTCAATGATAACATTCTCTGAAAACACAAGAAGCATGTAATCAATCACCTGAGGAAGAATCAGTTCTAAAAGAAAAGTCCTTATCTCTGCGAATGCAAGCTAATCCAATGTATTGTTACTATTTGATAACAAGATTGTAGCCTTTTGCCGTTGGTGAATAGTTAATTATTGAGATCACTTATGAAAAAGAGGTGCTTGACATGAAGATGTGTGGTGGTAAAATACAAAGATGGGCTTTGATGTTGTGGAAGGTAGCGGGAGGAAATATGTTTAGTTCAAGGTATCTGACGGTGGTGGCCTTTGATTGACTTTGGGTAGAGTCATTGATGGCTGGCAGAATAGTAAAAACAATTATATCTGACCTGGCTAAAAGATTCACGACCTTGACGTGCCTCTAGTGGTAACAAGCATACTCCTAGGTTATGGATCAGGAGAAAAGTAAATAGGTCGCGTGAAGTCAAACCCTTTAACCTTTTTATAACCTAAGGTGATTTCATGATTATCTAAGGGTAATGGATATGTTGATCATTATAGAAACAAGCCCCGTTCTTCTCTTGTTTGCTATTATTAGATTTCTGGAGAAGTACTGTCGCTAGTTCTGTCTGAACCGGCATTGCGATTCTTTTGATGCAGCTGGCAAGGGAAACACTGTCTTTTTGGGTAAAGGCATTCTCAGAGGATACTGCAAAAAGGCTTGAAAATTTTGGCTTCATACAATTCAGACCCGGAGGTAAGTTGGATCATTTTGTCCCAGTGTGGTTTAAACTTAGTCTAGAGTTTTATGTATTTTGTATCCTGTTATTTGTTTGTGTAAAACTAATATCTTGTATTGAAATGAAGGTGAGTATCACGGTAACAACCCAGAAATGTCAAAACTGCTTCATAAAGCTGTTAGGGCAAAGAGTGAAAGTGCATATTCAGTTTATCAGCAGCATTTGGCTACCCGACCTATAAATGTAAGTATCAATAGTTGATTGGTATCTTTTCATTCTGATATCATTGTTGTATTCATTTACTAAATTAATCTCTACTATTTATGATGTGCATGCTGCATTGTCTGTAGAATCTTACAGATTTATTTCTTCTCATGTTTTGATTTAGAGTTACTGTTAAACACAACGCTAATTTTTCCATGTAACCTTTAATTGCTTTATAGGTTCTCCGAGATCTTCTTGAATTCAAAAGCGATCGTTCTCCTATTCCAGTTGGAAAGGTTGAACCTGCTTCATCTATTGTAATGCGTTTTTGTACTGGTGGAATGTCCCTTGGAGCTATTTCAAGGGAAACTCATGAAGCAATAGCAATCGCAATGAATAGGATCGGTGGAAAATCTAATTCAGGTGAAGGTGGCGAGGTAACTTTTTTATGTCCACAGAGACATCTTTCCACCGCAAGATTATGCCATTTTTACTGTGCAACTTTAGAGAGTATTATAATTAATCACGGGTCACCGTCATTTAGGATCCAATTCGCTGGAAGCCACTTACTGATGTCGTTGATGGTTATTCTCCAACACTCCCACACCTTAAAGGTCTTCAAAATGGTGATACAGCTACAAGTGCTATCAAGCAGGTTAGAAAGCTACGGCCTTTGTGTAAACTGTTTGCGTGTTGCATTTGAATGCAATGGCATAAAAGAAGTTAGTGGGTTATTGATAAACAGAAATATCTTTTGAACTTTTCAGGTTGCCTCGGGGCGCTTTGGTGTTACTCCAACCTTTTTAGTCAATGCCGATCAATTAGAAATCAAAATTGCTCAGGGTGCAAAGCCTGGTGAAGGTGGACAATTGCCTGGAAAAAAAGTTAGCGCATATATTGCACGGTTAAGAAACTCAAAGCCTGGTGTTCCCCTAATATCCCCCCCTCCTCACCATGATATTTACTCTATTGAGGATCTTGCTCAGTTGATATATGATCTTCATCAGGTAACTTGTTCATTATTAGACACTATAATTTTAAATCTTGAATGCACTATCTTTAAAACCTGTAAGGGTAATGATTTTCAACTCTATTAAATTCAGGTCAATCCCAGGGCAAAGGTCTCTGTCAAGCTTGTTGCAGAAGCTGGTATTGGCACAGTGGCTTCAGGAGTGGCGAAGGGTAATGCTGATATTATTCAGGTATCTGATGGTTTATTATTGTTCTCAGTGAAGTTACGTCATATGTCCTTCATAATAATTTTTTCCTATATTATTGGCATTTATCAAGTTAGCATCCCAGATGAATTTTTGTTCAATAACTAATTTCAAATAAAGGAGTTCATTTAAGTCTCTCCTTTAAAGGAACTCCTGCAGATTCCAAGTTGTTTAATGATCATTCATGTTGTCGCCATTTATTTTTTTTTCCTTGGGTTCTTCCCCCCCAATTTACTCTCTACAACTGCTGCACAACCAAGGATGATATATGATAATAGTACCTGGCCGGAATATAAGAAAACTGGCAAAAAATGAGTGAAGCAAAAATGAGAATGTTGGAATGATGCGTGGGCATACTAAATTAGACTGGAATAGCAACATACACATTAGAGGAAGTTGGGATACCACCAATAGATGAGAAATGGGAGAATTTCTCGAAGATATTTATGAAATGTGTGTAGGTGACCTTTATTTTTTCCCATAAGACATGCAGAAATCACGGAATCATTAATTGAAATTGAAAGGGGATATGAGAAAACCCCAAAGAACTGTAAAGAAACCATTAAATTGGACTTATTTGAATTTAAAGGAAAATGTGTTTGAGTGGGTTTTCAATGGTGGAAGTGTTATTTGTATAGATAAGACATATGTTGCTGAACAGATTTGGTCCAACTACAGTTCCATATTCTCTTATCCTTTTGGTTTCATTTCGTTTTGGTCCTTTTCCACCCCACTCCCCCCCATGTATTTTGTAAGCCCATCTCATTTGCATTCAGTTCACTTTGATTGATCACGCTTTCAATACTTTTTTCAGACTTTTTGACTGCAGAATCAGAAAAGTATCTTCACATCTTAAAACATCAATAAGAGCTAGCCAAATTTAACTACAGAGATAATGCGTACTTGCATGAACTTGCTTTTCTAATAAACAGTAAATAATTTCGAACCTTAACTGTTTTACCTTTTGAATATTATAACAACTAATCACATCGAAGGAACCCTTCAAATGCAGTCTCATGTATGCACTTTTAGTTGTTGGTTGTTTCAATTTTAGTGGTTTCTTTGCAGAGTATCTGTGATCCTGTAACCTTCTGCTGATTGGTCTCTGTTTGGTATACAGATATCAGGGCATGACGGGGGAACCGGAGCCAGTCCTGTGAGCTCCATCAAGCATGCAGGCGGTCCTTGGGAACTTGGACTGACTGAAACTCATCAGGTTTGTTGTACAAGAATTAGAATAAGATTTTTATTTTTTTTTTCCTTGTGTAAGGTCTCATGTTCTATTTCAATCTTTTGGGATTAACTCCTGTATAGACACTCATTCAAAATGGGCTTAGAGAAAGGGTCGTTCTCAGAGTTGATGGTGGCTTCAAAAGTGGAATGGATGTCATGATGGCTGCTGCAATGGGAGCTGATGAATATGGATTTGGTTCTATAGCAATGATTGCCACTGGCTGTGTCATGGCTCGTATCTGCCATACAAATAACTGTCCTGTCGGTGTTGCTAGTCAGGTAAAAATTTGTTCATATGCGTGCATGTCTTTGGGTGCATGTGTATTAAGTACTTTTAGTACCTTGATTTATACAACCGTGCTCATGAATATTTTTTTATTAACTTTCTTAGAGAGAAGAACTAAGGGCTCGTTTTCCTGGTGTGCCTGGAGACCTTGTCAACTACTTTTTGTACGTGGCTGAAGAGGTGAATCTTGTGATCTTTCTGTCAGTATTATTCCCCTTTTTAGTAAACATTTTTGCAGTTGCCAATATGCCTAAAGACATTTTAAGCAAGCAAATTTCTTTCACAATTCTGCTTTTCTCTTCTCTTCTTGGGTAGTTCTAAACTTTTAGAATGTTTTAAAATTGTTCTATTGTGCTGATTTGGGCATATGAATGAGTTCAGTTCTAGGTGCATCAAAATACTAGCCTTGTTTACCTGTGTTGGCATTATTTGCTGTGATTGACTGGACACAATTGCACTTAGTTAATTGAGCTATCTCCCGTCCTGAAGATTGATGTGACACTGAACGTCCTCTTTCACTTTATAATTAGAATGACATTCAACTCGTCTGAACACTAAGGATTCTCAAAATATTGGGCGACAAGCCGACAACCCCCTCTTCATTCCTCCCCCCACCCCCAGTTCAGCTCATTTGCTTTTGTTCTCATTACGATTCTTCAAATTTTTGGATAGGTGCGAGGCACATTGGCGCAGCTGGGGTATGAAAAACTGGATGATGTTATTGGGCGCACTGATCTATTAAGAGCTCGGGATGTCTCATTGATGAAAACTCAACATCTTGATCTTGGCTACATTCTTTCTGTATGGCCTTGGATATTCATCTTTGAATCATGATATTTTGAATATTTTGCTTCCTCTGTAATGATCGCATTGCTCCCATGCAGAATGTCGGATTACCAAAATTGAGCAGCACCGCCATCCGGAACCAAGATGTACACACCAATGGTCCTGTTCTGGATGATAAACTACTGTCAGATCTGCAGGTAGTATTGTATTTCTCTCCCCTGTTTTAAATTGATAGATTCTCTGAAATCAGTAAGTGTCTACAATGTTCCACTTTTGTTCTCGTTTGTGGTTTGGAGGTTATGTTTTTCTATAATCGTACTCATTCTCGGCCGCTTTTAGTTAATTAAGTCTTATGTGGATACTAAGCTGTTTTTGTGGAAGGGGCATTTCACCAGGGAGAATAAGTTTAACATAAGTAATATTCACTTATTTTGTTGAGACTGAAGAATTAAAGCACGAGAATAACCAAAATTCTGTCTGTAAAGTAAGGACAGACCAGACTGGTTGTTTCCTTTTTGTTTGAACTGTGGTCTGATTTTGTTCTCATTCTCTACAGATAGTTCAAACCCTATTTGCATTTGAGATATTAATCAGATGAATTCTTAGTCCGTTGGTCATCTGGAATGATGGCTGAAGGTGTGATTATTGAGGAACATCGTTTGATCTGCAACCTTTGGGCTGATTTTAGACTTCAAAAAACCTACTGCAAGTTTTATTTTAAGCAATAGTGAAACTGTAGAAGCTTGATGCAGATTATAATAATTTTACCCAGAAAATATTCACTATATTCTGGATAATTTACTAAATTATTTGTCTCCCATTGAAAGGAAATGAAAGTAACTATTGATAGGTCAATAAACTGTTCTATTCAAACATCTTATGCGAAAAGTTAGTTCTGCAAAAAGATATATGGCTTGATGACTACTTCATATCAAATGAAATTCAATCTGATATCTGGTTCACTGTTTGATTTGGTGTGATTATTTTGTTATGAAGCATTCTTTTCTGTTTTCTCTTGCGCACAGATCTCAGATGCAATTGAGAACGAAAAAGTGGTTGATAAAACAGTGGAAATATACAATGTGGACCGTGCTGTTTGTGGCCGCATTGCTGGCGTGGTTGCAAAGAAATATGGTGACACTGGTTTTGCTGGGCAGCTGAATATAACGTAAGATATGCTTCACGTTGTCAGTTCGAGACGTACGCATAATAAATATAACTAAATTGTAATGTGAAATGTCTGAACTGGCGTTGTGATAATATTTCCCAAACAAAAGAATTTCCCTCCCCCCAGCCCCATCCCCCCCAAAAAAAAAACACCAATCATATTTGCCATGATTACCCAAGTACTCAATCCTGAACGAAAATAATGATTTGCAAATGGATAATAACATGTACTTTTGTTCTTCAGGTTTGTAGGGAGTGCTGGGCAATCATTTGCTTGTTTTCTCATTCCTGGAATGAACATCCGACTTGTAGGAGAAGCTAACGACTATGTTGGAAAGGTATCTTGCAAAATTTGTTATGTTGTTCAGCTAAAAGCTCGGACGTGTTGCTGTTACACTGGAATTTCATATGGTTGTCCCCATAAGTTGGTGCATTTTTCATTTTAATCGTAATGATTCACTTGAAATATATTTGGCCTCGGGCTTTCTTCCACATTGCACCTTTTTTCTACGGTGATGGTTATGTAGATCACAAAGTAATGTTAATAGATTAAAGCTGATGTGCAACTGTCCGTTAAACTCAATTTCTGTCACTTGGGATTCTTATACTTTTTACTTAGGTCTGTTTAAATTTTCGTATGTTTTCAGGGTATGGCTGGCGGTGAATTGGTTGTAACTCCTGTTGAAAATACTGGTTTTTGCCCCGAAGATGCTACTATAGTAGGGAATACGTGCTTGTATGGAGCTACAGGCGGTCAAGTGTTTGTTAGAGGGAAAGCAGGGGAGCGTTTTGCTGTTAGAAACTCACTTGCTCAAGCAGTTGTAGAAGGCACTGGTGACCACTGTTGTGAATACATGACTGGAGGTTGCGTGGTGGTGCTTGGAAAGTTAGTGTCTTCTCTTCTCATGGTTCTTGATTTTTGGAAGAAAAAGCATGTTTTACTTGCTTTGTTGACTATTTTGCTTCTTCATAATAGAGTGGGTAGAAATGTTGCTGCTGGCATGACTGGAGGTTTAGCCTACATCTTAGATGAAGATGATACACTTATCCCCAAGGTTCGTGATTACGAATTTTATTAATAAAAGACCAGCATTCTGTTCATTCTATGCACCCTCCCTTCCCTTGCATGTACTCTCATACTCTGCTTTGAGGCAAGTACTCTATCTTGTTTATAATACAACTTGACAATTATTTTGTGTGGAGGGAGTACTTTTTTGTTGCTTTAGCCTAAGGTAATCTCTCAGCAAAAATGCTTATCTGGATGAGTGAAATTATTTGATGATGAATTTGGAAGCACGTCCTCTGTGCAAGATATTAGAAGGGAGAGATGTTTATGACGCTCGTGATGGATATTCAGACTCAACAAATCAGTAAACAATGTGCTCCCAAAATAAAAGGGGACAGTAGTCTAACTATTCACTGTGAATGGTTTTCTTCTTTTGTATGATATTGATGGATTTCAATGCCACTGTTTGCTGATGCTTTTTTGGGTTTCCTCCAATTTGGATGGAATGAAGCTAATCAGGCAACAATTCTCAAAGTGGATGTGCTTGTCATTTTTATAAAATGTCTTTTAGTCATATGACTGGCGACTGTTCAACAAAAGCACCCGATTTTAGTACCCTGTGCTTATTTCAAATTCCTTTCTTTCTACTTATTTATTTTCTTGCTTTGTGGGAAATGGGAAAAACACTTGCAAAGTTTTAATGTGTTTTGAAATTTCAAGAACAGTTTCTGCAAGCCATCGAACAAGTAATGGAAACTGAGTTTTTGTGTTGAGTTGATGTCTTTAACCCCTAGCGGTTCTTTAAAAAAATAAAAACGTAATAATTGGAAAAACTCCAGTTTGTTCATTCTTATGCCTGCCATCCACAACAAGAACTGTGGTTGATGCTTCTATTGCTAGTTCATCATTTTGAAGGCCAATGTTCCTGGATTTTTATTTATTTATTTATTTATTATTTTTTAATCATCTAATGTAAATTGTAACAGGTTAACAAGGAAATTGTGAAGATCCAGAGAGTGGTGGCTCCCGTCGGACAGATGCAACTTAAGAGTCTAATCGAGTCCCATGTTGTAAGTTACATGATCAGACCCATAAATATCTTTTAAGTTTAGTGAATTCCTGATGTACACGGTCCAAGAATTTTGACAGTAAATTCGAAAGTGATTTCCCATTATTGAAGTCAAAGTTGCGGTAGCGATTTTCATGCTACAATTGATTTGATTGGCAGATTGGGTTTCCTTTCCTCCGACATTAACCACTCTATGCTTATCTACCCCCTTTTACTATTAATATGTTTATCTGTTTTTTGCTTCTGTTCACTTTTGTTGTCATTAATTTAAGAGCCTGTATTGTATCAGTGCTTGTTGTGTATCTTTTTGGCTGATTGACACCCATTGATCTTTTCTGATGCCCATAACTTTGTTTACTTCAGGAGAAAACTGGAAGTACAAAAGGCTCTGAAATTCTTAAGGACTGGGACAAATATTTGGCGCTCTTTTGGCAGCTGGTTCCACCAAGTGAAGAAGACACTCCAGAGGCTTGTGCAGAGTACGAGCAAACTGCCACTGAACAGGTGACTTTGCAATCGGCATAGTGAAAATAATGAAAACATTCTGCCCAACTGCCCATATGCTGGCAGAACCAAAGAAAGCTGGAACTGTAGGCAACTCGAGTTCTTCTAGTGTTGAGGTTGTGTGGGAGAAGAAAGATTGAAAATCGAAGGTCGCTTCCTGAATGTGGAGACTTGCTATCTCTCGCGGAGCAAATGATCTTTTACAACATGTTTTCAGCTGCTGTATAGTGATGCCGCCTGCACATGATTGAAGACAGATGTTCTCTAGTTTTTTTTCCCCCGAACTATCAATGTAATTTTGTATTGATAAGCACCTACAGTTGGAAATCTGGAAACTTGGTTGCAGGAATGTAAATATATCTCCGCAAAGGCCATTTTCCTGTCAACTTCTCAGTTCAGGGATCTTTTCTGTCTTTAATAAGTTGTAAATTTGATCTTGTATCATGAAATTATGATCAGAATTGGATGGCATTTGGATATTTCTTCTCCATATTTGGTTTATCCAACAAGGTGATAGGGAAAGTAATAGACAAATGCAAAAAAAAAAAAAAAAAAAAGAAAAGAAAAGAAAAAACAAGGCAAAAAATAAAATAAAATAAAATAACAGTGTTAAAATCATGATGTGATTGTAATGGCTTTACACCTTTTTGTAGAGATCTATCCCATTAAATCTTACTACATCAGAAAAATAAAATCAAAATTAGAGATTTTTTTTTTAGAAGAAAATTAGAGATTTAATCTCATATTGTAAGACTTCATGTATTAAAAAACGTAAAAAAACTTACATATATCCTGCCAAATCACTTTATACTCCTTCCGTCCCATAATTATTGTCCACTTTGCCTAAAAAATTTTGTTCCAAAATTATTGTCCAATTTGACTTTTTATCGATCAAGTCACACATTTGTCCTTAGTAAAAACTATTATCCATAAAATCTTAGTTGTTAAACAATTACTTACATAGGGGTATATCCGGTTGTTTAAGGTAAAATATAGTTAAGTTTGACCAAAAATAAAATCTTTTATTTTAGTAAAATTGGACAAAAATTATGGGACGGAGGGAGTATTATTTATCTTAATTTTTTTTTGGGGAAAAAGGTAAATTTTTCATTGCTATTTACATACTATTACATTGCTCAACTATTATACCAACTGAAATTGCTCATCAGGATTTTAAATTGAAACAACAACTTCCAGATCATGTCCATCTTTAAACTTTCGAACCTCTGGTCAACACCTTTTGCCTCCTTTTTTAAACTTCCTGCAATCACGTTCATTCCATATTCCATATTTGGTATATGGCAATAACAGCAAACAATATCCTCTGCTTACACTTCTTCCTTCCAACATTTCATCAAGCTACCAGTTCTGCTTCTAACACTGTAATACCTGGAAAAATTTCAAAAATTATTTTATCAAATAATTTAAAAGAAAAGAAATGTAAGGGAGTTATCATTGAATTCCTTTTACTGAATCTAAAATGAATTATGATGCTTAGACAAATTTTTAAAATAAATCGAATTTTGAGAAATAGTATATATAGGTATTAGTGGTCAAATAATACAATTTTAGCGAAAATTTCAAAGTATTGGTTTAGATTTAAACTGGATAGGAAAGTAGGGGCTAGTTGGTAATTAAAGAATAAGAAATGGGTGTAATTAGAGAACTATGGAAAAAAAATGCAAGATGAAATATAAATTATTAGATGAGCTCTCTTGGGTCTTTTCCCTAAAAAATTTGATTAAAATAAAGGTGGACAAATTTAAATTTTTAAGAATATATGTGGACATATATCCCATGGATTTCTGAAATCCGAGTGTTAATTAAAATTAAACCTTCGGATTTCAGAAATCCGAATACACATATAATATTAAAATAATAATTATATACCTTTTGTGGAATTATAGTAAAAAAATCAGAAAATGAACAATGTCATTCGGATTTTGAAAATTCGAATTCCAAAAAAAAAAGAAGGCAAATTGAGGCGCAAAATTTTTTAACTCAAATAAGGAATCCAGGTCCAGGTCCTGGACTCCTTAAATAAACAATTCCATTCAGATTTACAAAATCCGAATTCCTTAAAAAAAAAGGAGAAAATTGAGACGCGAAATTTTTGAATCCAAAAGGCCGGAATTCCGTAATCTAGATACAGATATTTGGATTTTAGAAATCTGAAGGCTTTTTAATTTTGGTTGGTGGAAGTAGGCATCTGCCATAAATTGGAGGACCAAAAAATGGAATAAAAAATCCGGAATTGACCAAACTCGGATTTCTGAAATCCAGGTATGCGGTGATTCAGATTTAGGGAATCCGAGTTACTTACAGATTCGGATTTCGGAAATCCGTTTAGCGTGCTATAAAAGAAAAAAAAATCAGACAGTTCTCATTCGAGAACTGAATTGGATTTTCTGTTTCTGCAGCTCTTGGTTGGCGAATTGGAGCTTTTGATGCAACCTTACCGCTAGATACGTGGGAATCGTTATTTAAGAGAGGTTAGATTGCAAAACCATGTTATTTAGTTTAGTTTTGCGTTATTTTGATTGTTAGAATGATGTATGATAGATTAGGGTTTTTGTTTGTTGGTTGTTTGGATGTTTTAGGTGTTGATTTTGAGGTTAGAGATGATGAATCATAGTTGTTCATGAGATATGGAAGTTGATTTATAAGTATTTTAGGATTTTATAGGTTTTTTTAATTATGAATGGAGTATGTATGGTGTATCTGTAGATTTTGTTATTAAGAAATGAAATTGATTTTTTTTCAAACAGTTATCAATGGCATGTGATGTATCATACATGCTTAATTTGTTTCATACAAGCAAGTATGTGATAGAGAATGGTAGCATCAACACTTTTTCGAATATGCAGGATGATGGTTTGTTTGTTGAGGAAAGGTTGTCATATGATGAATTGATTAGTAAGATTTGTATGACACTTCGTTGGGATCTAACACACATGAAACTCCACCTTTTTGTGATTTTTGATAGTCCCGGTGGTAGGCGTGTAGTGAAGATCAAGAATGATTTGCATGTAGTGTTCATGAACCGTGTAGCTCCAGTGTCATGTTTGGATTTATACAAAGATTTGGAAGATATCACTCACGAAGAAAGAGAAGCGAGTTTGGAAAACAACGTGTCATTTGGTGGTTTTCCAAGGGGGAACGTGCTAGTACTTCTCAAAACCGTGATGAAAAGGAGACACCTTTATTTACACAAGATGACTACAAGGAAGAGTCGGATCCCGACTACATAGCTCCAAGCGAAAGCGAAGAAGACCGTGATGTCTCCGCAGAGAGTGATTTTGAAGAAAGTGATGATGAATTATTGGAAAATGAGGAAAGGAATCTTAATCCATTGCCCCGACGCCATGTATATAGTAAGATGAGGAAATGGGATGCCTCGTGTGTGGACAAACATGAGTTTGCTCTTAAGATGTGGGATGGGACGTCCGAAGGAATGGACATTGGTGTTTGCTCTTAAGACTGTGAAATTATGCAACATCCATCATAAAAGAGAATATACGGTCGCCGCAAGTAGTCCAAAGACGTGTGCTGTGCGGTGCAGTACATTAAATGCAGAAAGTGAGGATGGTGAACCACCATGTGAGTGGAAGATGCGTGTGTCTTTGAAAGATCACTGCCTTCATGAAATTGTGAGATGCCATGATGCACATAATGGCATGATTCCCATGAATGATAATGACAATCGGTGTGTGGACGCGTCTTTGATTGCTAGACTCTTCAGGAAAAAGGTTGAGGACAACGTAGATTATACGGCGACCTTGGCACGGAAAGATGTGAAAACCTTATTGAAAGTAGATGTACCATACAAAAGGACGTGGCACGGGAGGAGGAAAGCCATAGAAGCGGTCTATAGTGATTGGACCTCGAATTTTGAAGAACTTCCTAGGTAAATATCAACTTTTATCCGCATTGTTATGTGCATTATTTATTTATTTTTTTTTGTTAAATGTATGGAAACATTGTAACTATAACTGGTTTGTTGTGTAGGTATATCGTGGCACTTAAGTTTACTAATTCTAAGACTGTAGTAGAGTGGGAATGGAAGGAGGGACAAGAAAATTGGAACAGGAGAAATATGACATTTAAATACGTCTTCTGGTCATTTACAATAGGGGAACAAGGGAACAGTGTAGTCGATACAGTTGGGGATCGGCCCTGCTGGCTGGTTTGTACTCTGGTCAGTGCGAGGCATCCCAGTACACCATGTACGACATCACTGGCTGTCTATATTTGTTACATGTACGTATTAGTTTTCAATAAGTGTTTTAATTGTTTTTGTTTTCGACGTTATAATTTGAAGTGTTAACATTATTATTGAAATTTAATAGGTATGGGCATATGAGCGGATCAAGAGAATCGCGCCACACAAAAAAGGAGTAGATTATATATTTGATGAGACCGCTCCATTAGTTCAGCGGTACATATTTTCATTTCAAAATAACTTAATGTTTATTTCTATTTGTTTCTTATCCATCTTTTTTACTAATTCAAATGTAACCCCCTTCGTGTTTGTTCATTAAGGTGGGAATGTAGGTACACTTACGGAGACGTCCCAAGGAGCAGCTTGCCACCTTTTAGAGATCAATTAACAAGCATGCGTGTTGAATATGTAAGTACTTAATTTGGTATTTATATTTATTTTGAATTTTTTTTCTTCTGGTTATCCATTTAAATAAATTCTTTTCGTGCAGTTTCGATGGTAACCACATGCAAAGGTCCTTGATAGATTCCCTGATTTCTGTAAACAAGGCCAAGCCATTTGGACGACTAGGTGTTGGATGTTCTGTTGGATAATTAGGAAACCCCACGAGTCGGGCAGAGTTGTGAGACAATTTGGATACATACAGGGTGTTCCCAGTCGTCCTATGATTAAAGATAGCGCAACATTTCTTCTCGATCACACCCACAGTATGTCTGGGTATCCTAGCAATAATTGGGTGGATCACCATTCCGCAGTACGTCCTCACTGGAGAAAGAGAAAAAAGTACGTTCTACAACATTTGGAGGTTGGATACTCTGGCCACGTATATGAGGGGTACTATGAATGGTTCATGATGAACACTTTCAAGCTGATATCCAATCCCAAAAATTATGAACTTAAAGGATACGAGACTTTTTCGAGCCGAGTGAAATTATATGTGAGTTCATTCTATATTTTTGGTTTCTTATTTCTTATATTTTCCTTTTATTTTTTCTTTTTTTTTTGTATTTTACTCTCTTAATTAACGTTCTTACTTCTTTTTAGGGTGAAGTATTGAACAACATTCGCGTGAGTTTCGAGCTGTTTAGAGATAAACAAGATGATAACAATCTCCTAGACGATGAACTCGAGGAGCATTTGAACAAAATCATCAATCAAGCACATGCTACTTTAACCCTGGGTGTAAATGATGAGATTGCTGTGGACGATACCCAAATCCTGGATGATGAAGAACTATCTATCCCCTCACAACCTCCGCCAGGTAAAAAAGCAAAACCGTGGTCGAGAGACAAGATTGGAGGAGGAAGAAAGAGAAAGATAGTGATCCTCCTTGGACATCGCAAGAACAAAATGAGGGTCAACAACGAGAGGGCGAGGCAGCTTTTTCTAGAGGCTCGCACATCCAGGTCCAGACTCAATTTGAAGACATTGGTGGACCCGAGACTCAATTTGGTAGAGAGTCGCAGCCACAACCGGGAGTCCTATTTCTCACCATGGGAGAGCCCCAATCCCAACCCCAACCGCGTCAACAACAGGGTTCAATACTCACGTATTCTTGGAGGGAAGACAGGAACATGCATGGACCAAATAAATACACTCCGGATGCGCCTAGGAAAGGAAAAGGGAAAAATGAGCCCTTTGATATATTTTTACATTTAAATTATTTTTTTGATTGATTTTGGATTAAAACTTGTTATGTTTGGATGTTAATCGAATGACGTTTATTGTTTTGTTGCTATTAGATTTCTGTTTTTCTATGTTTCATTATTATTGGTGCTGTAAACAGGTTTTGGATTTCGGAAATCCGACTGTATCCAACTTCGGATTTCACGAATCCGTATTTAGCCGAAGAAGTGCTCCGGATTTTCAAAAATCCGTATTTATTTGATTCGGATTCCCGTAATCCAAATTTAGTTAAAATTCATTTTCCAACACTTGTATTTTTTTCTTTCTGAAAATTAATATTTTATTAGCACATTCGGATTTGAGAAATCCGTAGTAAGATTAATTACACTAATTTCTATCATTAACTTAATGTTAGATTTACATTACACAAACTCGGATTTCGATAATCCGAATTCCAAATGTGAAACCCTTACTCGGATTTCAGAAATCCATGGCATATAGTTTTGTCCACAAAATTTTTGGAAGGTTTATTTTTGTCCAAATTCTTAATGTGCAAGTATATTTAAGAAAAAAACTCAAATTCTCTTGTCCCGCAAGACGCTTTAAAAATGAGAGCTAGTCTCACACTATAAGAGGCTCCCTTTTATGACATAAAAGTAACAGGGTTTCATGGCCAAGGATTTTAAGACCAAATATAAGAGAATCAAAATTCGTTTGGATATCTTTTAGTCCAAAAATATTCATCTAAAGAGGTAATATACTAGTCTTTTCTTTTAAATGCATTATTTATATTTATATTATAAATTGGAAGTGTTTGAAATTTATGAAACTTTTACATTATAATATTTACAAACATTTGAGTTCGTGGTTAAGATTTCATTATTTATGAATTGGTAGGATTTTAAAAATAAGTTGTTTAAATTACTATTTATCTTTAGGTGAATTTTCCATTATGGTATTTCATATCATTTCTTTTTCAATAATAGGGTTAATAGAAATTTGTAAAAGTTTTATATTTACTTTAGAAAGTGCCACAAGTATCCAAAAGTTAACTTCATTAATTTTAGAATATTAATATAATCTAAGTTATTCATTTCCAAAATTGGTTAGAAATGTTTTAATAGTAATTAAATGTGTACTAATTAATAACTACTAATGTAATTTACTTACAAATATTTACAATTTTATACGAGCTATGACGTTCTAGTTTTTACATGAAAATATTAATTTTCAAATGTCCGTTTATAAATCACGAAGAAATATCCTTTCTAAAGGGGTGAGATTTTAAGTGGGATTATCATGAACCCTTAAATCTTTTTTATAGACTATTTCTAAAGTAATTTATGGTATAGGAAAATAGAATGCTATATTTTTCCAATATTAGGATTTAAGATGTATTAGTAAAATTGTATAATTTCTAAGAAAATGATTTTTAGAAAATATTTAGAAGTAGATAAGAGTATAGTCAAATTTCATGTAGAGAACACTTTAGCTATATTTAAAGCAAGACATATATGCGATGATAGGTGAAAGAAACAAGGAACAAGTTCTAAACAGGGGAAAGAAAGAAATTGTTTACGTTAAGGTGCATTTCCTCACACGAAATACATACTTGTTTAAATGATTATATGGACTAAGTGTTTTTCTTTATATGCATGGAATGTGCTAAATGTTTAATGATTTATGATTTAAAGTTGAGACTTATGCACGTACGATATTGCGAAAGCGATCACAAAAATGAATGTAAAAAACCGGATGAAAAAGCTGGAAAACCTAAATCCTAAGTAACTGCAAAAGTGGATGAAAAGAGTGGAAATCCTGCAATCTTACAAAACTCCTCCTGCCTACTTTCTCCTCCTCCAAAATAGATAGCAGATTTGTGGACATTGCCACTAAACCTGTGGTTGCCGAAAACTCATTGAACACATTCATAATTCTCCTTACTGTTTCCACATCCGCTTTACATAAGACCATTAGGTCATCTGCAAAATAGATGTTGGTGAGCTTTAAGTGATCACACATAGGGTGAAATTTAAACTCATTTACAGCAGCACATTTCAAGCTTCGGGTTAAATACTCCATTATATGCAAAAACAGAAGGGGAGAGACAGGGTCCCCTAGTCTCAGTCCCTATTTTCCAGCAAAATGAACCACATTGCAACCCTTTAGAGACAAGGTATAAGTTAGAGTAGAGATACATGTCATAATCCACTGCCAAAACAGTTTCCGGAAATCTAAACCCTAGCATCATTTCTTCAACAAATTCCCATTCTACCGAGTCATATGCCTTTTTCAAATCTATTTTCATCATGATTCTACCACTAATCCCTTTTCTTCTATAAATTCTAAACATTTCTTGAGTGATCAACACATTACACATAATAAGCCTATCATTAACAAATGCAGCCCGTTTTCATCTACTAGACTAGGCAATACCTCTCTTAATCGATTACATAATATTTTTGATATACATTTATATATCACATTACAACGGGCTATCGGTCTATAGTGGCTAGCATTGAATAGGGAAATTATCTTAGGAATTAATGCTAGGGAAGTAGAATTAATTTGTTTGACAACCTAACCTGAATCGAAGAACTCCAGTACAAAACCCGTTACTTCCTCTCCTATGACTTCCCATGCAGCTTTAAAGAATCCAGCTCCAAAGCCATCAGGACCTCGACTTTTTGTAACATTTATCTCCCACAAAACCGCCTTTACCTCAGAAGGTGTTACAGCTTTGATTAATCTGAGTTGCTGGTCAGTGTCCAGAATTGGTCCAGCATTGAAGATTCCAATGTTTGCAGGTTTTCTATCTGAGGCCTGTCCCAATTGATGTTGGTAAAACTTGATGAAGTGCTATGCAATTCCATCCCAATCAGTGATTTCACGTTCATCTTCTACCACAGCCCAAATTCTATTCTTCATAGTCTTTACTTTCAGTACAGCTTGAAAGTATTTAGAATTTTCGTCTCCCTCTGCTATCCATTTTTCCTTGGCCTTCGGTTGCAATAAACTGTTTGCAGCTTTCCTGGCAGTGACATATTCTTTAAAAGCTCCTCTCTCCTTGACCTGAATGTCAAGATTACTAGGATCAAGCTTCAACTTTTCCTGCAGGTCTTGGAGCTTTAATTGAAGCTTATTGGCTGTTTCCACAATATCATCAAGCTGCATTTTGTTAAGCTCTCTTACTGTTGGTTTCAAGTTTCTCAACTTTGAACACACATGGAAACATTTTTGTGCCCCTGATTGGTCTGCCCCAAACCTCCTTTACGAGATCAATGAATTGAGGAGACTGGCTCCACATATTGAAATACCGGAAGGGTTTCAGTCTCATCTGAGTTTGGTCATGCAGATGAACTTCCAACGAGGTATGATCTGAAATACCCTCTGGTAAAACTGAGACTTGGGATTCATTGAACTGCTCCACCCAGTCCCCATGGACAAGCACCCTATCTATCTTTGATTAAACTCTTTCTGCTCCTATTCTCTGATTACACCACGCAAACAACTGCCCTTTCTGCCTTAGATCTTGAACTCCACAGTCTTCTACGCAATATTGTAACTCCTCAATGTCCCTTAGTTCAACTGTTCTGCCACCCAGTTCCTCTTCTGGCTTGAGGATATTGTTAAAGTCTCCCATGAGAATCCAAGGACCTTCTAACCTTTCTTCTATCATCATTAGATCATTCCATAACAATGATCTTTCCTCACATTCATTAGAAGCATATATACTGGTCAGATAGAATTTATTACCACCTTTCTTTTGAATACAGCAACAATGTAGAAACTGAGCAGACTTAACTTCACATTTAACTTCTAAGCTGTCATCCCAAAGTAGAAGTATTCTTCCCCTTTCCTGACTGAGATGATTAGTAAACCAATTCCAACCTTGCCAATTGAATTTTAAGTAATCTACACATCTTGACTTCACCATTTTTGTCTCTACTATACTGACTAAATTGTATTCTTTAACTCTACCATCCTCTTTAACTCTTTGTGTTTCAGGGGAGAGTTCAAACCGCTTATATTCCAAGAAAGGAAACTACACGTTTGAATTAGGACCAAGGTTGAGCAACTTGCCCTCCATAGACGCAATTCTAATGTTTGAGCTAGCACAAACATCCAATCCCACTACAGCGTTATTAGGTATCTCATGTTGAGAGTACCTATCAACTGTATCCTCAGTAACTGGGATATTTATGCTTGCTTTCTCCCTTGTCTCCTCCATCCTGATCTTGTTACCATTTCCCACATGATCTCTACCAGTAATAGCAGCCCTTTCTACACTTGAATAATCACTTGGAGAATTGCTAACAATATTTGAGCCATTATCCTGGTTCCCTGCTTTATACTCGTCACTTTCCTTTTCCTTCTGTTCCTCCACTACACCCTTGCCCTTTACTACCTTTCTACAGTATGTCACTGGCACTTGAATTTTGTTCTCCACCTTTGTGATTTTCTGCCTACAATTCTCAGTCAAGTGTCCAAATCCCTTACAGCACTTACACTGTGTGGGTAACCACTCATACACAACCTTTTGGACTCTTATATTTCCCTTCTCATCTTCATAAACAATTTTATCCGGCATAGTATCAGTGATGTCCATTTCAACAAGTAATCTAGCATATTGATTCGAGTTTTATTAACAATGTGGGTATCTGCTTCTAAGGGATAGCCAATCGTGCTTGCTATAATACTTAGGGAGTTTAGGTTCCAGTAATTGAGATCTAAACCATGTAATTGAATCCAGACATGAACTTTGTCTATATCTCTCTAGTCTATTCCTTTATCAACACTCGAAGGCTTAACAATCAAAGGCTTTGTGCCAAAATGGCGAATTCTCACATTCAAGACTTCATCCCTAGCATGAACAGTCTTAAATCTAACAAGGAACAATCCATTAGGAAGAAGGATTACCTGATCAATACCATATCGACCCCAGATTTTCCTTAGATAGTCCTTCATAACCCATTTCGGCGGGTTTGCTCCTAGAACAAAGCACACCACAATGGAATTCTAGTAATCCTCCT